TTGCATTTCATTACTTAATTACATTCAATGATTGTCACCCTCAGTTACTAATTCACCAAAGAGATGCTGAATGATTCATCCACTCACCCAACACTTGCTCGATCTCAGAGGTGACCAGTGTCTCTGTCTTGACTTTGGGAGGACTGTTCAATATGGCACTGCCCCCTGTCTTCACCACTCGGTTGTCTTGTCTGCTGAAATCCTGTGCTGTTTCACTGCAAAGAGCATGAGCATTTCAGCTGATATGCTAATATATATTAATGCATCCAAAAATTGCTAAATCCTACAATTATGTAAATTGGCAAATATTAATGAATGTGTGGATTAAAGTACTATGAAGAGGTAGGTTTTGGTATAAGCATTTATAGGTTAGATCAAGTGTAAGTTTCATAGTCTCAATTTGTTTAATTTCATTGACATGCAACACTTATTCTTTGCAAGGCATATACAATTAAAATGAATGCCTCTAATATGGATAGAGGCAGACTGGCCTGAACAGATGTTTAGTGAAGCCATCTTCTGGGGTTGTTCTCTGACATGGTGATGCACTGCTAAGTTTGAAATGAATATTCTTCTCAAGTCATGACACAAAGTAAACGTTTGTTTAAATAAATGATTGATTTGACCCGAGTTTTTAATCTCGTGCAGTTACCGGAAAGGCTGCTTCTCCTCCCCACTCATTTCACGCCACATCCGAGCCAGCTCGCACGTGGTTTGTGTTGATGTTATGTCTGGGTGCTGGCTGCATGCCAGATACACATGCACGCACACCGGAAAAAAAGGCCCCTCTTAGCCTGAATTCACCGAGGCAATTAATATTAGCCAGCACTTGTTCAGGCTACGACAGCACGAGGTTGGATGCGATCAGCACCTCACCTGGCCACTTTTATTGCCCAAAATCTGATGCTCGTGCCCAATATAAGAAATTAACTTTGGAATTTAATAATTCGGTTATGGCTTTACTTTTTAGGCTTTAAGGCTAACCAAAGTCGTTGATATTGTAGTTTTTGTAAAATCAGTGGCACTATATTAAAAAAAAACGATAATTATACATTTACGACTGAGACAATGAAGATTGTGAGATTATGGTAATGAGTCAAGTGTGGCTAGCAACACACCAAGTCACCTACAGCGTTTGCATATTCCACTTTACAACTTAATTACAAGTTGAGCTTACCTAAATAAGTCGCTTCTCACTGCGTGTACAGTTAATTTTAATTTGGTACACAAAGCAACTAAGCCAAAAATCTAAACATGCCACATATTGTAGAGATCTCACCAGATGTACTTCTTGCGTTCGAGGCGGCAAAACATGATGAAGCCATTTATACATTTTTTCCTGCCTTTCACGCCAGCAGTGAGATGATGCTTGGAATCACGGGACACTTTAGGGTTTAGGGAATTGCGCCGTTTCCTCCCAGACACACTTTTTTGACCGCCCCCTGGCTTCTCGCTTTTATCCTGCACGACTCCAACTCGCTGGTGTCTGCTGCCACCAACTTAAAAGGAGAAAAAACAGTTTATTGAAATATTAAAATAAAGTAATAATAATCGTTTGCTTGGCTAAGAAAAACTAGCCTCAAGACTTTTACAAAAAGGTCCTGAGGTTGGTTTATCGAATCCTAGTTAATTAGAGACAGTTGTATTTTAAGAAATTTAGTTGCCTAATTTGTTTATACGAAAGTTGAAGTTTAAAAAAGTACACAATAGTTTAAACTTTAAATTATATCGCGAGGTTATTGCTCGATCGTGAATAGGATCAACATCTTGCGTCTTTACAAAATAACGCTATGGTTAAAGGACATCAACTTAGAACAACTTGACTGTCATGCGAATAAAATTAATACACAAAGTGTTGTAAAAATGCTGCCTGCTTTCTGTGTGGACAAGAGGTGACTTGAATGGATCTCATTGTATATATTTTTAAGCGATTTAAGATAGGTTTTCCCCTTTTTTCTTTATACCTTGCACTCGTAAGGTGTTTTGTATTGTAATGTTCTGACCTGCCCCTACTGAACTTCTCTGAAAGAGAGCTTTTTTAGCTCATCGGACTCCTCCAGTATGAATAAATATTCCCATTCTGAACTTGTGGTCTCCACTTCCGTGAGCTGTTTTCTAACACAACTGAACTCCTCTGTGAGAATTGACTTTTCATCTCATGAAACTGATAGAATGGAGATATAACGAGATAAAAAATAACTAAATGAAATGTCATCAACCACTTTGGCTCATGACTTGATTTGTGTTTTCTTGTCAACCTCCACCATCAGCAGTGTGGGTGTGTGGAGTGAGGTGCAATGATTGCCTGGTGGCCCTTTTGATTGTAGTTGCTTGTCTTATACCTACATTAACATTACCTGTCCCACCCATGCTGCTGACACACTTGGGCTACGCCCATCTCTAAACCTTTATAAAGTTTTCCTTTAGAGGCTAACCCCCCTTTTCCTGATGATGCCCGCTTGTGTTGCGATCGAAACGTCGTTTTTTATTTTAATTACTGAAAGAACCAATAAGTTTACAATATAGACTGCCACATGCTCACCAAGCTTAAAAACCAGGCTACAGTCTACATTACAGACTGCCAGTACACTCACCGAGGTTAAGAACCAGGCTACAGTCTACATTATAGACTGCCAGTACACTCACCCAGCTTAATAACTATTGCTACAGTCTACATTATAGACTGCCAGTACACTCACCAAACTTAATAGCCAGGCTAGTCTACATTATAGATTGCCAGTACACTCACTCAGATTAAGAACCAGGCTACAATCTACATGAGTGGTTTTTGTTTTTTATTATTAATTTGTATTATTTTATTCACTTTATTTTTATTATCATTTTTCTATCTACGTGACTTTACCGAAAGAACCGAAGAATATTAATTCCTGCAGTCACGAAAGTTTTAAGTCAAAATTTGTACCACTGAAGTCATTGTTCTATCTAGAACTGAAGTTTTCGTGGCTGCAGGGATCCATACTCTTTGGTTCTCTCGGTAAAGTCACGTAGGTATAAAATAAAATAAATTAAATCACGATGTTTCGGAAGCAACACAAGCGTCCGTCATCAGGTGGAACAGCCACAGCAAGAAATAAATTGCTGTAGTGGGCAAAAGAGCTGCTTATAACTATAGGCTATATATAGAGCAACTTGTGACTACAGGCTATATATATAGCCACTTGTCACAAGCAGCTCTTCTGCCCACTACAGAAATGTTTCTTGCTGTGGCTGTTCCACCTGATGACGGACGCTTGTGTTGCTTCCGAAACGCCGTGATTTAATTTATTGTATACCTACGTGACTTTACCGAAGGAACCAAAGAGTGTAGTCATTGTTCCGTGAATAAATCTGTGCAGCCATCAGAGATGAGCATAGCTCAATACTCTTCTGAGCAAAGAAACACTTTGACTTGGTTTGTAAGTAAAACTGAGGCTTCTCTTGCTCAGATCATTGTTGGCATCATAGTTTGCTCTCTGCAGTGTGTAGAGAACTGCATTGCAACTATGGAGCTGTCATTACTGTTGTTGATGGATCTTCTGGAGTTGTGTGTAGCACCCCGCCTCATTGTATACAAGCTGGGTGTCCACGTTTGGTCTTTGCAGTCATCCACAAAGCCCTTGCCCAGGTCGTCGCTCGAGTTCCAGCCCTGATGTGCAAGTGAAGAGGAGACAGTTGTATCACTGACGAGAGCACATATCAAAAGACGTATGGATGGGGGAGATGCAAAATGACAAGACACCCCTGTGGAATTCTTTTGGTTGTAAATCTGGTCAGCAAGCAAGCAGCAAAAGAAGACTTGTTAAACTCTTGAGTGAAAAGACACTCAGAAATGTTATCATTAAAACTACAAACTGAAGCACAATATTAAATTAAAGTAACACCACTCCCATTAAAAATTAAATACAGGTTGATTGATCTTTTTAGTATTATTTCTGAATTACATATTTAAAAAAATATTGCATGTACATTCAAGTTAGTGGCATTTCTAGTGGAATAATTAACCACTACAGTTACATACAACCAAACCATTCTGAATGTGCCAGATACTGTTGAGTTTCAAAATAAAAGCAGGGTGTTTAGTGCTTGGATGGTGAACAACAATACACAACAGGTGTTGTAGGCATATCGCGTTTAGGGTTGCAAGGTACCTAGAGATGGCAGCACAGTAATTGGTGTGGTCCATCTGATATTGGTCCTCAAAGAATTAAGGTTGTGTGGATTGAATTTGTACAGTACTTTTGAGTGTTACCTCCTGATATAATTGGATTTTTTCAATACACTGGTTTCTTTTCACATGCCAAATTCACAAATGATACTGGCCAAACTTCCCAAAGACATTGTTCAAAAGGTCTTAAGACTCTAAGAGGCTTTGTTAGGTAAATGTTCACATGAGCAAAATTTTGCAGAGAAACCTTCCAATGTTAATTGACAAAGTTGAATACTAGTGGTATTATATAATAGCAGCCCACCAGCTCATTGTCTGCTTCCTCCTGCTTGATGTAGGAGGATGGAGTGCAGCGCAAGTGACGTGAGCGGGAAGGCCGTGCCGTCATTGGCTTGGGCAACGCCTCGCACGTGATCGGCGGGACCTGGCTGCTGCCACCATCTGGCTGCAAATGCCAAGCATTGACAGCTGGGTTAAGAGGTGCCAGCCTGACCACCTCGGGTTCCTGCATGCCGAAGGCACACATCAGACTACTTACAAAAAGACAAAACCTGAAAAAACAGTGATATCCTCTAGATATACACCTAGGTTGTGTCCCAGGCTGTCTGGTTTGAGTTTTAAGAAGCTTCATTGATGAGCTAAAAAGAGCAAGCAAAGACGCAGTGATTACAATTCCGCATTTAACCTTCTTTGTACACTTTTCAGCTTTTGCTCTTTATGCATGTTGAACTTCGTTTGCATCGTACGTAGCCAAACGTGCCAATTAGAGGTGCATTACAAGAAAAATCTGAGGCTTCTATACTTCAAAAGAACTAAATGTGTATGTCACCTGTCCTTGCAGTTCATGAAGCGGAGGTGGTATGTTGTTATTTTTCTTAACCATCCAGGAGATGTCACCCTCAGCTTGGAGTGAATCCTCATTCAGCACTGATAAAACATTTCAAGCATTATTCAACAGCATCCTGAAATAAAATATGCTTGTCACTTGTCTTCTGACTATATTTCATGACATACATTACATTTCTGCACTAACATTGTTTGAAAGTATATCCAAAACACAGTTTGTTCAATGCCTTAAATGATTATTTGACTGTGCACAGTGGAAAGGTCTATCACACCACTCATGAGGGTTCCATGTTGATCCAGTGTGGCGCACGGCATGTGTCTGCTGGGTGAGGTGAAAAGCGAGGGGCTGAGGCTCAGCCAAGGCTGGGCTGGTTCTGGGGATACGCAGGCAGAGGAGCGCGACTCCACTGTGATGACTTGAGAATACAGGACTGTGCACGCATGATACAGAAACATGTCATTACAAACAAGTATTAGTGCAATTGAGAGCAACGTGAGATTAAAAAATATAAGTCACACAAACAGTTAAAACCCAAACTAAAACACAATGAGAAGCTAACCTTTAATGCTGCATTTTGGAGGCAGGATTAAATGAGATTTCACAATTGTGATTACACAGATGCATTAAGCACACACCAATTGGGCTACAAAGTGATCAGTAGGTGGCAGAACAGCAAGTGTATTTGACCCATTTGTGCACACCTCACCATATTTTAGTTATACAACTTGTGTTTCGTAAGTATGTCAGGTGTCCGATGTATGTATATTTAACTTCCTTTGCACAGTACGTAGCCAACCGTGCTAATCAGAGGTGCGGGGTACTAATTGGAGGTGCGGGATATTGCGAGTGAAATAAGTTCAATAAATTAATAAATAAAACACCGTTTGTTCTATGAAGTACAGAAGTGGTGGCTAAGGACCAAGATAGTTTCCTTCATGCAAAGTCAGTACATAGTTTGATTTTTCAACAGTGTGACAAACAAAGTCATTGTTTCCCTTTTCAAATGAGCAATTAATGGATGATACTCTTTGGTTCTATTGGGTAAAGTCACGTAGGTAAAAAAATAAAATAACAAAAATCACGACGTTTTGGCCACAACACAAGCGGCTTTCATCAGGTGAAGGGACGAGACTGTCTGGAGGACAGCGCTGGAGTGAAAAAAGCCACGCTCAGATCACGACCTTTAAGCTGTGTGAGAAGAAACAAAGCGCCTTGACAAAGGAATTAGCATATAATTTAGCATTGAAAAGGCTGAGTGATTAGCTTGTGACTGGTCACAGAAATGGCTATGTTAAAGTTAAAGCATACACATCCGCAGAGGCACCCCTTGAAAAAGGAATTAGCATAGAATTTAGCATTGAAATAGCTGAGTGATTAGCTTGTAACTGGTCACAGAAATAGCTATGTTAAAGTCAGAGCATATACATTCACCGAGGCACCTAGTACAAATCAAACAGGAGAATTTAGCAAAACACAACCACGCTCAGACCGCGGACCTTTAAGCTGTGTGCAAGCAAACAAGGTGTCCTGACAAAGAAATTAGCATAAAAATTAGCATTTGATTGGCCGATTTTAGAAAAGAGGTGGTGTACGTGCCGGTGGACTTGCCGTTTGGTGCGGGGGGGGGGGGAGTTTACCTACTGATGGTGTGAAAAGGGAATTTATAAGAGCTGCGAAAGTTTGGGGTACCACTACTTGAAAAAATATACTGTACCATTGAAATTAGTTTAATGTTTAGTTCGATTTAGAACATCTTTCCAATGGTTGCTTAATTTGAAACCATCTTCTCGGTTGAAATTGTGTCTGTGTTTGTAGATCTGAATTGCCTCGTGAACAAATCTCTGATAAAAACCCGTGGGTTTGCAAAGAACCTTGGTATCGGAGAAAATTATATCGTGATCACCCACAGCGTTGTAAGTGATCAGCCACGGCAGAAGAATTCGTTTTGCCGTGTTTCAAATCTGATTTGTGCTCGCGAATTCGGTCAGAAACATGTCGCTTTGTCTCCCCGATATAGCAATCACCGCAGGTACAACTGCGGCGGATGAAGGCCGCTTGTGTTGTGGCCGAAACGTCGTGATTTTTGTTATTTTATTTTTTTACCTACGTGACTTTACCCAATAGAACCAAAGAGTATGGATCCTTGAAGTCACGAAAGCTTTAAATCTACAATTAATGGATACACATCTTCTTTGGTGGTGATCCATTTTAATGAGAATGCCACATTCCTGTGGTTTGGCTTAGAAACAATGAATACAACCAACATAACACAATGGCCTTAGCGCCAGCAGACCTGTGTGTGGCGGGGTAGAGTACTGTGCCAGCCAAGGACTGTCTTCAGGAAAGAGCTCGGCGGATGGACTGGAGGACTCCAGCTCCTGGGTAGTTTCCCAACTATGGCAGGGACAGGATGAGTTGGGGAGAAGGCCAGCTGTTAAGTATGCAGGGCTCTGTGGGACTGCCAGTAATATTACAAGGTGCTCAAAGTCTGTGGCCTGATATAGTCATAACTGCATTCTTAAAGATTACCAATTCCATATCAATATATTCACTCCAGCGATAGAGGTGAAAAGGTGGTACAGTAGTCGGAACCAATTATGAGCTTCTTCATCCGCCTGCACTCAAAGGCAGTTAAGTATGGCCAAATAGTACCCATAACAGACATGACAGGCCTTTATACCATAGTGGATTTAAAAGGGTTGATAATTATTTCATATTGTTTCCTCTAAACTTTACTTGTGTTTGAAATAAATTGTTTATTTTATGCCAAATGAAAATTGTAATCAGAAATTTTTTCAGAAAGTAAAGTATTTTTTTTTCATGTAAAGTCACAGACTTAAAATATAAATATATTTTTTTATATGTATTACCTAGGCTCTTCCTGGCCATTCAGTGTCCCTGAGTTGGTACTGTATGGACTGTGAGTGCAGGTGATGATGCTGTCAGTGAATCTGGAGTCGTTCCGCCAATCGTGCTTCCCTGGATCAATGAGAACTGCATCCACAGTGGCCTCCGACAAACCTGCTTCACACACACAGGAGAATACAAAACCTCAAAAGACAAATTAACTCCTTTCTTTCGAAAGTCAATGTGGTCTCTTGCTCAGATTACCCCTTCAGTTCTGTGATATACAAATGTAGTTTTCACAAATTAGACATAAACATCCAAGTTTGAAAAGCATAATATTTCAACACGTTACACTAACAGAAGTGTTATTATTTACAATTCTTTAAGATGCCTTATTCACAGATCCTATCCATGAAAATAACTTCGCTTATCCGCAGACACCCATGCAGACCAGGAGTGCTAATATATGTCAATCATGCAATGCACTTTGTGAGACAGTGAGGGAAAAAAGTATTTGATTCCCTGCTGATTTTGTACGTTTGCCGGCTGACAAAGAAATGATCAGTCTATCATTTTAATGGAAGGTTTATTTGAACAGTGAGAGACAGAATAACAAGAAAATCCATAAAAACGCATGTCAAAAATGTTATGAATTAATTTGCATTTTAATGAGGAAAATAAGTATTTGACCCCCTCTCAATCAGAAAGATTTCTGGCTCCCAGGTGTCTTTTATACAGGTAACAAGCTCAGATTAGAAGCACACTCTTAAAGGGAGTGCTCCTAATCTCAGCTTGTTACCTGTATAAAAGGCACCTGTCCACAGAAGCAATCAATCAATCAGATGCCAAACTCTCCACCATGGCCAAGACCAAAGAGCTCTCCAAGGATATCAGGGACAAGATTGTAGACCTACACAAGGCTGGAATGGGCTACAAGACCATTGCCAAGCAGCTTGGTGAGAAGGTGACAACAGTTGGTGCGATTATTCGCAAATGGAAGAAACACAAAAGAACTGTCAATCTCCCTCGGCCTGGGGCTCCTTGCAAGATCTCGCCTCGTGGAGTTGCAATGATCATGAAAACGGTGAGGAATCAGCCCAGAACTACACGGGAGGATCTTGTCAATGATCTCAAGGCAGCTGGGACCATAGTCACCAAGAAAACAATTGGTAACACACTACGCCGTGAAGGACTGAAATCCTGCAGCGCCCGCAAGGTCCCCCTGCTCAAGAAAGCACATATACATGCCCATCTGAAGTTTGCCAATGAACATCTGAATGATTCAGAGGACAACTGGGTGAAAGTGTTGTGGTCAGATGAGACCAAAATGGAGCTCTTTGGCATCAACGCAACTCACCGTGTTTGGAGGAGGAGGAATGCTGCCTATGACCCCAAGAACACCATCCCCACCGTCAAACATGGAGGTGGAAACATGCTTTGGGGGTGTTTTTCTGCTAAGGGGACAGGACTTCACCGCATCAAAGGGATGATGGACGGGGCCATGTACCGTCAAATCTTGGGTGAGAACCTCCTTCCCTCAGCCAGGGCATTGAAAATGGGTCGTGGATGGGTATTCCAGCATGACAATGACCCAAAACACACAGCCAAGGCAACAAAGGAGTGGCTCAAGAAGAAGCACATTAAGGTCCTGGAGTGGCCAAGCCAGACCTTAATCCCATAGAAAATCTGTGGAGGGAGCTGAAGGTTCGAGTTGCCAAACGTCAGCCTTGAAACCTTAATGACTTGGAGAAGATCTGCAAAGAGGAGTGGGACAAAATCCCTCCTGAGATGTGTGCAAACCTGGTGGCCTACTACAAGAAACGTCTGATCTCTGTGATTGCCAACAAGGGTTTTGCCACCAAGTACTAAGTCATGTTTTGCAGAGGGGTCAAATACTTATTTCCCTCATTAAAATGCCAATCAATTTATAACATTTTTCACATGCGTTTTTTTATTTTGTTGTTATTCTGTGTCTCATTGTTCAAATAAACCTACCATTAAAATTATAGACTGATCATTTCTTTGTCAGTGGGCAAACGTACAAAATCAGCAGGGGATCAAATACTTTTTTCCCTCACTTTACGTCTGTGAAAGGTATATCATAATTTTTGTAAAGATGTTGTTTTCACCATAATCTGTTTGCGAAGTCACACTATCTTCCTTGTCAGGACTGCATTTGTCCTGAATTGTACCCTCCTGCTGCTGTTCACACATGGAAGTCTCCATCCCACTATCTTCATTGCCATCATTACCAAGAACTTGGTAGTCAACATCCATAGAAGCACTCGTCTCATGTGTATCGTTGTCTTGGTGTTGGAGGAGCTGCAGGCCAAAAGTGGTCGGCTCTTTGGTGAAGCTGTATTGCTGATGGCACAACAACTTGCTTTCACTATCGGCCACCTTCTCGCCATCTGAGGACACGGGAGACGAGGAAAGTGCTGGCAAGGGTCACAAATACAGTGTTTGTGCCTCTGGTGTGGTTGTGCGGTAAACTCCACCATATGATTTTCACATTCAGATAATAAACGCAGGTGGTTTAGTTGATCATCATAATGCAGAAGCAATGCGCATCTGTGCATGTTGCACCAAAATAACATGAGTACAAGTGGAGCAGATGAGAGTGAGATGAGCCAGGATATTACCAGACATGCACGTGTTCTGTGTCCCAGCCTGGTGTTCATTTTGCATTTGCTTAAACACAACACCTGAGCGTTTCTTCTGTTGTGCGGGCGGGTAGACCTGTGCTGCTGCTACTGGGAATAAACCAGGGCCGGTCCTATGCTGCTAATGGAAGTGGTGGTGGTGGTAAAAGCGGTGTTTTCCCTGTGTCAGTATACCCGTGGACGTCTCACTTGGCGATTCCAGCAGGGGCTCCTCCGTGTGCAACGTGCTGTACCCTCCATCCTCGCTACATGGGTCTGAATGATGCAAAGCAGGCAAGGCCACTATCACTCATGGCAAGAGCATGGTGTTCAAATCAACAAATGTACCCTCAATGGCGGAGCCAGGATTTTCAGGTAGGGGGGCATCCCCTCCAGCAATGAATGATAGTTGTTAGTAAGGATTTTATCCTTTGCTTTTTATTCGACGCGTGTGCGGTCGATGGCGCAGCCATCGATCGAGGGTCGAATTCGAACCGTATGTGATCGGCATCGCGCTCGCTAAAGGTATGCCTTCAGGGAAGTCGTGTACTGTATACGCAACTGCGCACAATTCTGTGAGTCACTTATAACTGCTTGGCTGTTACTTATTGCCAATTATGGACTCAGACTTTTGTCCTATCATCTCATAGAGTCCATGGCACCTAATATGCTACACAGTGGCAGTGGGGGTCGCAAAATGCCAATTTATTACTAATAAACCCCAATGATCCGATCGAAATTCCTAATTTAGATCGGATCATTGGGGGGGCACGTGCCACCCCCCCCCCCCCCCCCCCCCCCCCCCACTGGCTCCGCTAGTGTGTACCCTCATAGTGAACGTTGAAATCAGTACACATAGTCAAACCTTGTTCAATTTCAGATTCACATTAAAGGAAAAAAAATATTTGCACCTTGCAGATTGACCCAACAATTACATAGCACAGACCAGAACACTACCATTTAAAACACATCCATTATCAACAATATATGTGCATCCTCAATAATATAAGTGCACCAGATTGGTTTGATAGAACTCTGGTTAAAGGCAGCATTGCTATGTGTAATATAAAACCCTGGCAGGATTCCTTGCGATAAAAACATCAATATAACACACCCAGCAAAGATATGTTTACACAAAGCTGATAGCTGGCATGTACAGGATTCTTATTATTGGCACTAGGCAAGCAAATTGCAGGCTAAGAGCCAAAATGTTAATTTGTATTGAATCGCAAGAATCTCCAGAATCCCAGGTAGTCATTTTGCTGTCGAATCTTAACACATTGATTGTCTCGTCATGCGAGAGTGGCATCTTGTTTAACCTCAATCTGTTTTTCAGTTTACGCATTAGTCTCTCACCAAATAACTGTATGTGTGACACTCTACGTTTCACGATCTCCCTGCATGTGTCTGCCCCCAGTTCATCACAGCACAAAGGAATTTTCCTTCATTGTTTAGTACCCCATACGATAAAACAGAGCTGTGAAACCCTGACTCATACCCATGGGCTCTAGAAATCAAAGTTCTTCGCATGCCAAGCCCGTAGGCACGTACATCGGCGTGACACATACTTTTAGCCAATTCCACCCAGGGAATGCAAGCTTTAGTGCCGTGCGAGCTACATCATTCTCGGCAAACAGATGGGGAGGCTGAGACGTGAGGTCTCGCCAACCGCAGCACCTGAGTAAGAATAGGGTTGCATAATTGTTTGTGCATATGACCTGCAGGGGTCAGAACCCCGAGCTCTCCCTGGGTTCTGCATGTCTTGCTGGCTTCATGCGTCTCGGCAGCACTGCGGAGGCGGTCTAGGTGCTTCTGCAGGTGCTCTATGTAGAGCACGATGTAGTGCAGCATCTCCTGCTACACAAAAAAATTGATTTTTCTACAATGAGTTAACTTTTCAAAAGGTTAAGTTAATTCCACAGCGATTAAATTATATCACAAGAAACCATAATAAGCACAACATATCGCAACAGTAGCTCTTGCTGTTTGAAGTTCTAGGGCCAGATTCACATCGTTACAAAAAGACCGAAACAACACCCTTGGCGATTTGCCTAATTGTTGGAAATGGCCACAGCAGCATTTTTTTGGGAAAAGAGGCCATTTGCCTCTGTACGTATGTTGAACTTTCACACGAATCCTACACATGGATATCCTCTATTTTAATAGCATGTTGAGTTAATCTGTAATCAATATAAACGAGCCCATTTCAATGATTTGGTTTCCATGTATTGTGCTTGTAATACCATTACTGTACAGTGGAATCTACCAACATTTAAATAAAAAATCGTCAACAAAAGACTTGGCTCATACCGCCCTGGTTTTGCCACATTATAAAGTATTTGTATATTCAGAAATGTTGTTTTAACATTTATTACATCAGTAGCTAGGCAGCCTCATGTTTATCATACTTGCCCCATGTGTTGGCTTACATGGAATCAACAGTTTGATTCCTAAAACCATTGCCAATACTTTTCAGGATGTTATTACTTCATCTGTTGTGAAGTGGATGTTAGGATCCCTGAATTCATTCAAAGGAAGTAGGCCATTGCCTTCCAGTATAATTTCGCAAATCTTAAGAACTATCTGCAACTTTATTACAAAACAATTAATGTTCATGCACAACTAAGATTACCGAAAAACTTTGTTGTTGTTTTCCTAACAGCAATGATGTCCGTATCCCATTGGGCTATCCCCTGGTTGAATAAAGGACGATTGGAGTAACTAAAACATGTTTAAGCCCCTGGTGCCCATGGAAACTTTATTGTATTTACACAAGCTGCTACGTGTGCAAAATGCAAGCGTTAAAACGGGAAAGACTACTTAGTGGTGCCCAGCGTCAGTGAATGACCCAGAATGAAATCAATGGGTGCGACAGACAGATTAAAGTGAAAATCCATTAATTCCCTCAATTACCGGTTGTACAAGTCACAAATTAGCAGGGCACTGGAAGCTGGTCCGGCGTCCTTGGTTGAAGTTGGTATGAAATGTTTATTTAAAGCACAAGAGACCAAGTCTCACAATATTAAGGTGCTTTACAGCAGGGACCCAAACATTTGCAGATTACCTTGGTGTGGTTCCTGTGTATGACGGTGAAGGGTCTGGGAATGAAATTAGCCAGTACCTGGATCAAAAGAAATCTGATGTTGTACTTTCCCCTGAATCACACGGGCCATTGTTAGCACACAATCACACACACGAGTATACAGCACAGAATTATCTGTCAATACCAGGGGGTGGAAACCAAAATAACAAGTCGTTTTTTCGAATTCGGTATACAAAGAAAAATTCAAGAGCCGCAATGCAATGTGAATTACGTCACGAAGCAATCCTTAAAGAGCCGCAGGTTGCCCACCCCAGGTCAATGCCGGAGTGGGCTATTTCTGCCTACACCTCTGCCCGATTGACAGCCATTTTGTCAATCTACTGCTAAAGACGACCTCGTGCCATAACGGCATAATGTATATTCTTGGTTCTTTCGGTAAAGTCACGTAGAATATAAATCCCTGCAGTCACGAAAGCTTTAAATCGAGGCATAATGTATGTCACCAAGTTGGTCTGCGGTTTTAAAGAAGGACCCAGAACCAGTTTATATATAATTCGCTACTGATCATTGTATGGTAATTGGAACAGACCAGATTCAGAGTGCGATGCGCAAACCACTGTACACTGCTTCACTCCTGTCACACATAACCGCACAGTATTCACAAATGCATAACGCTTGGTAAAGCAAATCCATACGGCGTTCACTGTGACAATGTATGAATAGTGTACAACAGTCCTTATCTGACTGCGTGAAGACTGCTATCATGTAAAATACATTCAAAAGTTGTCCTGATGCTGCACGGAGCCATCCTTACAATGGCCAGCGTTTGTCATTGTGCAAGTCCCTTAAGACTCGACAATATTAATTCTGGAACTCGCTGCTAAGAGAACTATGCACGGACACGTTTATTTTAAAACTGCACTGAGGTCACTTCGATACAAATGTGTTTATTAAAATAGTACGTGAATACTGTACATTATACAGTATTAATGAATAGCGCCACCAGACATCCGAAGAGCTGTGGCGAGTGCGGCAAAATAGCGACTAACTTAAGGCACCACAGGCACCCTCGACACCACACCGCTACAGTCAAACGCCTTCAGACACGTGGGGTTAGACCACATGCAAAACTCTGACCGCACTAAGCATCCAAGTCGGCAGGTCAAGATCAAATCTGGCAAAATGGCAGTACTGTACAAAAGCAGAGATCTGCGACTGTGATGAGAGGCAGACAACCAACAGCTCTTGACCTGCTACCTGCTCGGGGAAGGTCCCTGCACTGTGCAAGAATCATGCAGCGGTCGACCTACGAGCGCTGAAATGTGCTCGAAACTGGAAGGACATTTGGCTTCGGTGGACAGGCACGAAACGAATTGGAGTAAGCGATGTTATATAAATTACTATATTGTTGGGGAAGTCATATAGGCTATAGTCTATAAGATAGCATAAAGCATACTGTCAAGCACTGGCAGACCTTTGCCAATCCACTGCTGGAGGTCTCCTCACCACGTGGTGTTTGCCATGGGGAGTTTGACCATACTTCACCACGCTGGTCAAGTGTTCGTTCGCCTGTGGCCTGCAATGGAACTCATGGCGCCGGGTTCACAACGCAGCGTGATAACCAACTGCGCCGTAGTTCTCTATGATACTGAGTTAATCACCATTAATAAACGTATGTACCTTGCAATTATACAAAGTAGCTCATTCTTATTTGTATCAGTAAATATACCGCAGTCCAACCTTGTCCGTGTCACTTGGCTGACTACATTGCAAACTTATTTAAATATGAACACAGCAAAGCCCTATGTGGACTATTTGGTTTAAAGTATGCACAGTACATTATATGTCAAACATGAGTACAGTCATTCATTTATGCAGTATAGTAATTATATTTAAGCTGTATGTTGTGCATTTAAACTACAGGTTAAATTTACCGCACCGTAATTTTTCGAAGCAACTGGTTTAAATGTCCAAAAAAACGCCACAAACGTTTTAAAGTTATAGAACCACCCGCATCGCTACAATACAAGCGCCTTGTGTTTGTCGATCACTGCTTTTTTATTTTAAAACAAAAAAATAAGTAAAAATTCAAATTCGGGTGTTAAGTTGTATAATTACCACAAACACCACGGTTGACCGTCTTTGATGCGAAGAATCGTATTGTGAAAATCGGATCTATCGATTCCCGCCGATCGATTCCTGTATAATTTAGCGGTTGTGATAATCGATAGAGAATTTGATGAATTAAAGAATCGGAATTGGTTGAATTGGCGGGACTAAATTTTCCGTGTTTTTAGTTTATGACGTAAAATTTTCCCTCATGATCATGTAGCAAAACACCAACGTGAAATAAACATTTACAAACATTACACTTACATGTTCTTCATAAACCGTAATTACCATCGTCATAAATGATGGTCAAACAACCTCGATGATTGACACTGCGTGGGGAAGGAAGCCTTGATCTAACGGTGGACTTTAAAGGCGTCGTAAATTCAATCATTTAGAATAATCACTTAAATCAAGGTGACCTTATAACAGGTCCCTGCAGGGTGGGCTGGTAGGAACATTGGAATTTTGCGCAATTTTATGACATTGTTACGTAAAATTGTGCAAATTGAGAGCGTCTTCCCATCTTTTTGCCCTCAACATCGTTGAGGGTTCTTCAGATAAATTATACACCCAACAGCACGAGATTTCAATTCGTTAAAGTATTGAAAGGGGACGGACGGACGGACACATTAATCTATTGCAGGCTGGTACACTCAGTTTACAACTTCGTTCCTACCAGTATAATGCCCCTGTAGCACGTAATGCAAGTCATGTAGCACGTACTGGGTTTGGTAAATTCAAACGTTACATTGTATTTATAAACCCCTTTGGTTCTTTCGGTAAAGTCACGTAGGTAGAACACATTCCTGCGGAGGGGGCTGGTAGGAACGTTGGTTACTCGGTCAGTGGCCAGGGTCAACGGCGGCACCACGTGGTGTATTCCGCAAATATGCCCGACTGTGAGGGCGGGCACAAGCCGGCGTGAGTAGGTTAAACGTTGAGTTTTATAAGGGCACCACGGGGTGACCAGCCCCTCCCCACCCAGCCCCACCCCCACCCAGCCCCACCCTGCCCACCCAGCCCCTCCCCACCCTCCCCTCCCCACCCAGCCCCTCCCCACTCAGCCCCTCCCTACCCTCCCCTCTCCACCCAGCCCCACCCCTCCCACGTGGACAGACATCCACAGACATACACAATTAATCCCCTGCCTCCCTTGAATTAATCCCGGTTGGGCTTCCAGTCCACTACGTTTCCTACCAGTAAAATGAAATAAATTAAATCACGACGTTTCGATTGCAACACAAGCAATCATCATCAGGTGGGAAAAACACAGCAAGAATTTTTTTTGCTGAAGTGGGAGAGAGAGTTGCCGTAGTAAGACGTTTTATAGGCAAGGAAGGGGGAGGAGCAAGGGGGAGAGGGAGGGGGTGGGGGTATGGGATAGGGGGGGGGGGGCAAGCGTTTTCCTGGTGTAGTAGTACCCGGCAGATATGATAGACGACAACCAATACAAAGCAGTTAGGGTTTTACCTGGTTAATAACATCCTTCCAACAGATTGCACAATTTGTATTCATCTTCTCGGTGTTATGTCTATGTTTATATATCTGGATGGCTTCATGAACAAACCTTTGATAGTAGCCCGAAGGTTTGCAGAGTACCTTGGTCTCGGAAAAAACAATATCATGCGAGCCCACAGCGTTATAACAATGGTCAGCCACGGCAGAGGAATTGGTTCTGCATTGTTTCAGATCTCTCGAGGATCAGTGAGTTGACTCCGTCGTGGTCCATCTTCGGGAAGACAGCCTTTGCTAGCGCCAATAGTGCGCTACGGAAGGCGTGGGGCGTCTCGGCCTCCGCTCTCCTCCGCGCAGCGAACCTATGGCGAATGTTTGACGGCAGTTCGTAGATTGCCGCCATTTTAGTAAAGGCTTATTGTAGCGTGGCCCTCTCTGACAGTGGGATGGTGAGAAACGCTGCCAAAGCGTCGTCGTCAAGCGCGGCGGGCAGCGCTCTCAGCGCCTCCGCCTCTGTCCACCCCACCAAGTCGCAGTTCATCTGGAACCGGTGCTTGAAGGCCACCCAGTCGCCTTCGGCGGCTGAAAATTATTTAACAAAAGGTAGACGTCGCCTGAGAGATGGAATCTTAACAGGCTGACGCGGCGCGGTCTCAGATTTGGCGGGCTCTCCGTCCCGCTCTGCGAACAAAATGGCGGCCGCATGCGCGGGCTGCGCCACAGAGCTTTCCCGCTGGCGGGAAACGGCAACAGGATGCTCGACCCCACGCAGCTCCGGTGCTCTCTCCTCCACCGCTAGTCCTTAATGATTGATTTCAGCGACCATCGCCGCCACGGCTTCGAGGAGTTCAGCGAGGTGGGTGCGGAATGTGCGGCGCTCTCTCTCCGACGTCGGTGAGCTGTCGCTGAGATGGTCGTCGTGATGCTCCGCCGACGGCGCCTCACTCCCTTTTTCCAGGATCGCCATCCCCGGGACTGTCTGAGGAATAATGCCTTCGTCGTCCTCGTCGTCCAACGTCCTGGTATGTAGTCTACGTCACGTAAGCATAACCTAACTCGGCTATCTTACTTAACAAAATAATGTTTGGCCACTTCCGACACCAGTTGTAGTGAGTTCAACTGAGTCGCAGACGTATGCTTGGAGGCAACACATTTATTTAACTCCAACACACCGAGTAACTTCCCCCTTAACAGAATAACAACTAACGGTGGTGACCACCAGGCTAACTACACTAATTACAACGTAATTAGCTACTAGCAACAGTTCGGGTCCAGGTTCACCTGTTGGAGACTCATTGAGCGGAGAACGTAAACGAAGGTTTCTTCCAGGATGAACAACAACGCCGGTCCCTCTGGGGACCCAGCTTATATTCTCTGTGGTGTGGCTGGCTCTGCCCTTGGCCACGACCACCTTCCAGAATCCTCGGGCGGATCTGGATTCCAACCCCGTGACCCCCCTAGCCCGCACATGGCGCCCCTTTGTAGACTTAACTGGTCACGTGTCCTCTCGGGTCAACCAGAGTGCCATGGCCTTTAGTAACCACATTCCTACGGCCGGCACTCCCACACGCTGTCCTGTAGGGTTGGCACTGCACGCCAAGCGCTATCAATTAGCGCTCACCGGGCCCCTCTAGGGCCGGTACTACACCCACACCCTTGTGGTATCCGCGATGTCGTTACACCGCACGCCGTGCCTCTCTAGGGCCGGCACTGCACAGCGACATCCCGCGATGTCACTACACAGGTATAATTTGCTTCAGTGTACGACAGTAATTTATTTGCATTAATTTAGCATGAAAGGGTATAATTAGGTCCCAGTCATTGCTTATCTAGTTCTAGACTAAAACTATGACCCAGGGTGACTTGCAATGACTGGCTAGGGTCAGAGCACAACTTCATTCACTGACTTCAGCTCACAGAGAAGTGGGTTTCAATTCCAGGACAATGGCAGCTCACCTATGTCTCAACACGGTCTCCATCCACAGCAGAGCACTTATGACAACAACAAAGATTCCCCTATAGCCTTAACAGACTGTAGGGGCAAGTGCTGTTAACGAGCACCTATGAAGGTCGGAACGGTACACAAGGGGGTGGGTGGCCAGCACCACGCCAGACCGTCTTTGTCTCCCCAGTGGCGATGTTTACACACCACACCAGCTACTCATTTGAGGCTGATTCGACCTAGGGCAGGCCGATGGTTGAAACTAGCGATGGAGCAACAGCCAGAGGAGGGAAGGTGCGTGGGAGATGGAGCCATTAAATCAGTTTGTGAGTGGGAGCAACATTTATTGCATCACGAATCTTGAGGCAGAGATGCCATGACTTGCGGATATATTCATCCAAAAGTAAATAGAGCACACCTGATAATGATGTTTATGATTGCAATTCTCAGATGCAGTAAGG